ACAAATTAAATGACCATCACTTACAACAGGCTTCTGCAGTTTATTAAACTAATCTCTCGAAAACAAAGGAATTAAGCCCCTACTCCAAACACAACCGCTAAGCACCCACAACTTGAAAGTGTTTGTGTGTAAACAACATAACAATACCAATCGGCCCCTTTATTATCAGTGCTCATTTCCTTGAGTACCATGTTGCCTTTTAAACAACAGGAAGCAATCACAATGGTCACCGTTTGTGGCGTCACAGGAAACAGCTCATCACATGTTTTTGCAAATGGCGAACGAAATAACTCGCCGTTACAGTTGTTTATTTGCCTCTTTCAATAAAGGTAGATACTTGTTCACTATCAATTTATGATTTTTGCAAAACATACGTAATAGCTATTGGCGATTTCATCTGTGGATTATATATTATAGCTGTGGCCGACATATATTGTTAAAGGTAAAGATTGTGGAGTTTATGAAGAACAATAAACTTTGAACATTCAATTGAAAACACTATTATCAGAGGTAGTAACATGCATAACATTTTTTTAATAATGACAACATTGGTGTATAATAATAACTTTATTGATAATTTATAACAATAATGGCTCTAGTCGTGGCCCCTTCCAAACTTTCGGGAAGTTGTAATCTATCGGACCGTCATTCAGGCGATGTTTCTGTCAGATCACGATCTGAAAAATACTATCATGAAAGTATATCCCGTGGATAAGCCGACCCCTTTCTACAGAATCTGGGGCGGTCGGGTAGCCTAGTGGTTAAAGCGTTCGCTCGTCACGCCGAAGACCCGGGTTCGATTCCCGACATGGGTACAATGTGTGAAGCCCATTTCTGGTGTCCCCCGCCGTGATTTTGCTGGAATATTGCTAAAAGCGGCGTAAAACCAAACTCACTCACTCACTCATTCTACAGAATCTTTTTTCTGGTCCTCAAAATTCGGCTTATCCGCGGTTATATACGGTACACAGTTTCGGGTCAATACCCAAAATGTCAGTCAATACCTGGTGTGACCACCATTAGCATTGATCACTGCCACACATCTCCTGTACATTGAGTGGATCAGACGATTTGTGAAGGCCCTAGGGATCCTCCTGCACACATCCAGAGCAGCTGTGCGTAGTTCATCGGCAGTTGTAGGGACTGGGTGCACATTGTGCAGATGCCTTTGAACCTCATCCCACAAGTGTTCGATGGGGTTCAGATCAGGGCTGAGGGCTGGCCACGGTAGAACACGGATGTTGTGTTGTTGCAGAAAGGTAGCTCTGGCAACATGGGGACGAGCGTTGTCCTCCTGGAAAATGTGTTGTTGATGTTGTGCAAAAAATGGAACAACGTGGGGTCTGATCACTTGGTCGATATACCGCTGAGCAGTGACGCCGTGTTGCCGACCTTGACCAACATTCAGAAAGCACATGGGTCCAAGTCTCGCATCAAGTCCAATCCCTGCCCATATCATGACGCTAGGTCCACCCCATGGATCCCTTTCCACAACGTTACTGTCAGCAAAACGATCAGCTCGACGCCGCCAAATTCTGACTCTTTCGTCTGCATGGGAGACACAAAAGCGACTTTCTTCAGAAAAGATGACACGCCTCCACTCACGATGACGCCAATTGCATGGACCCTGTGCCCACTGAAGTCGTGCTTGTCAATGCTGTGGTTGGAGAACAGTACGACGTGCTGGTCGGCGACATCTGAGGTTGTTGGAATGGAGACGTCAGTTCTCCCGGCTAATGTGTCGATTATGTGTTCCTATGGTCTGTCGAGCACTTTCACTTCGGAACGGATGTCGCTGGTGTTGACGGGTAATCTGCCGATCTTGTCGAGGTGTGGTGACCCTAGGACGACCGCTCCGAGGAAGGTCATCTGTGGTCTGTGTAGCATTGTATCTATGCAGGAGACAGTAAATTGTGGTTATGTTAACGTTGAAATGACGGGCAACATCTTGGACACTCTCCAGCTTCCAAACGTCTGATAGCCTGGTTTCTCTGAATTTGAGTTAAGCATGGCATTGTTGACCAAAGAGTGGTAGGTCCAAGAATCGGCCACAGTTTTATACACACTACAGTTCGTGACAGTTCGTGACAGTTCGTGCATTTTCAATTTCGCGAGAAATGGGTGCATGATACCCACATATCGTTGAAATGGTGCATTTTGGCGATTTGTTTTTTATGTTGCGTTATACTTTGGGCTTCCAAAATGCAACCAAAAATATTGATAACACCATCAGGCTTCACTACATGCTAAAACTCGTATCATTTTATGGTTCCATGTTTGTTACCTATTTGCTTAAAACCACTTGCGTTTATTTTGCGTGTGAGTATAGATATTACTTATAATTATACCGCAAAAACAATAATATTGCCTTCTTTCACTTGTGCAAGTTATCGTTTCCTTGTAAGTTGTATTAAATATAGCCTACTCTATGCTTCTTGAGCTTTCAATGCAAGTATGAAAATTGTTCAATTGAAAATAGGTTTGTAGATTTGCTGTCTATGAAAACGTTTCATTGAATCTATGTCTACTTACCCTTTGGTGGCAGTACATTTGTATCATCTTGTTAATTATTAAGAAATAATAATGATGGACAGTATTGAGCGATGTCAATTTGAGTATTGTTAGGGCTGTTTAGCAATCTTTCACATTTTGTCGTTTGAAAATGTCCGATGTCAATTACCCTGAAGTTGTTTTTATCTCTATTGAAAGAGCAGGGACAGCGAAACCTACATGGACGTAACCGGGATATCTTCAAGATATACATTCCAAACTGTCATTTGTATTGTAACATAATCTTTGACACAGTCTGTGTATGAATTAATCACAACCACTTCCGTCAATTTTGTTTTGACGTCAAAAACACGCACAATTTCAGAAAGATTTTTTATCAGTAATTCTAAATCACGGAAAATTCTCAGTGAATGTGTTGGACATTTAGATTTCAAAAAAGGTCGCTTATTGACTTCACTTGCCACATTCAGGTGCCTCCATATTACGGAAAAGCCTCGCTATTGTATAAATATCAGCATTAAATTCTAATAGAGATTGTTAATGGAAACTTAAGGTAATAAATGTAGGGGGTTTTAAACAACATAAAAGGGTGATGTACATATATTGTGGCTTATTAAACTTGTAAGGGACTATGTTATACTAACACAATTTCTTCAGGTAAATACCAACTATACCAAAGCTGTTGAAATCTATATTCAACATTTATTCTGTATTCAGCTACATGTCTTTCTTTACTTGAGTACATAATCGAGACTTGACCATGCAAACCAGTAATTGATCCTGTAAACAAAGGCGTATGATTACACATATACCAGTTATCGTCATTTTTTTCATGTTATTTCTGAAATATTACATTTACAAGGTTAACTGTGCAAATAACTTTAATTTGTGTGAAACTATGAGCAAATGCACATATTTCTGTCCATGGACAGAATTCAATAGATTTCTAATTATGTGATGACAGGGAATCAAAACAGTGGAAATAGATATTTCCAGTCGACCAGCTGTAACAGCTATCATCATCATCATCATCATCATCATCATCATCTAATCAGCATGTGTCATGTGATCATGCACACTGCTTCAGTTACACAAATTACATTATCTATTTTCTCTGGTATCACACTCAATTTTTATTTTCATTACAATTAATAACAAATAATTTTATTGATTTGTCTTCTGCAAACTGACATACACCAATATTCCCCAAATTCGATTTACATGTGCTTATCCTCAACACAATGTACTATGGATTTCACGATAAATACAGGGTTATGCATTTTTGGAAAAATAGCTGTAAAAGGTTTTAGAATTGTAATTTGGAGAAGAAATGACAGACAGATAGTAAGCTATGAAGAACTGAATGTGCATCATCATGGTTTTTTTTATTTTTGTTTACGAATGAAATGGGCTTGTGACACCTCTCGCGTGTCTCTTCTAAAGTTGTCATTGGGTAAGGTGATTATATGGTTTGTTTTTTCTATTTCTTCACATGAGTCAGTTTTGTTCGTCATTTTTGGATAAACATTTATCTCTTCTAATGAAACCGAGCAAAAGTAACAGGGAGATGGTGATAATTGGTTCTCAGTGATAACTGGTCACCAGCTAATATACTATTTCTTAACATTGTCCATGAAAAGACAATTTCAGTCATGAGAACGTCATGTGGTAAGAAAAAATGAGTGTTATTTTCTTGTGCTATTTTGCTTGCTTAAATGATAGTTTGTTTTGTTTGTTTGTTGTTGTTTTTTTTTGGGGGGGGGGGGGGGGGCTCGAGGGGAGCGAGGTCCTTTGCTGCGACTGGGGGCTGGTGGGGGCTGGGGGTCGGGGGAAGGGTCTTCTCAATCTCCATCTCTCTGTGTGTCTCTCCCTCTATTATATAGCCAAGGTCACCTGACACTGACTAAGTCATAAATATAAACAACAGTAATTTATCAGTGACATAGTTGCACAGTTTGTTCAGGATGGCAGACAATCGATGTATAACACAGTGGGGATTAACAGTTGGGATTAGCATCTTATAAATAATGGCAATTAAGTGTTTCAAGGCATATACATATCATGCGAGCAAGTAAAAAAGTGGAACTGGATTTGAAACCAACGAAAGAAAGACAATAAGGGTGGAATATTGGTCGTTCGACATTTCAGCAATTGTCTGGAGCCATACATCATCAACCTGTAATTACAGAAAGAATATTGTAGATATAAATTATTATCATAATTGGATTGTAATAATAATATATATTGTCATAAGAAACATAACTTATTTACTCTCAATGCTATATACGATAGCATGTTGAGGTTAACCATATAGTAATTTACATATAATTAAATTTTAAAATATATCTTTTAAATGTTTAAACATTTTTCATTGAGATGTGATGTTATTTACCTCTTTCACTGGAACCATGGGAAGAACAGCGCATCTTTTAACAAAGGTTTTGACCTCTGGGTTGTCACCATAGGCTGACTGGAGACCGACCTGTTGAGCCTTTCTCCACACACACTGGGTGTAATGGAAAAAAAAGCCTTTCCAAGTGGCATTGGGGAAGACGTCGAGGGCTGCTATCTTTGCAGCTGCTTCAAAGTTCATCTGAAAATAGAAAAATATAAATAAAAACTTGGTATATCCGCTAATATGGACATGTTTCATATATCATATTACACTAAAATATACACCAAATGATACACATTTGGCCTACCTGTATTGTTTGGGGCAGTAGCTGGAACCCTCGGTTCTCAGCAGCATCTTGACCAGGCGGAAGGCTCTGTCGTAGGTCTACTTCTTCTTGTCTGGCAGCAACAGGAATACCAGGGGCACCATCTTGTTGGTGACGAAGGCGTGGAGGGTGTAGAGCTGGTAGAAGAGACGTGGAGTCACGTAAAAGGTTCCATCTCCGTAGATGGTGTCGGCTGCACACAGAAATCGGAGGTTGCTGGTGGTACTGAAGCCAAGGATCTTGTTGTCATCGCCATCGTTGATAAGAAGAAACTGCTTTCCGGCGCCAAGGGTCTGAAACTGGTCTGGGATGACGAGGTCTCTTCTGTGTGCAGGAAGTGGTGGTAACGTGGATCGTCTTGCTCTGTACAGAGTGTCCTTCTGTGCGTGGAATGTGGGCATGGCTTCCACTACGGACCTGCTTTCATCGGTCCAGGCTTCACCATTCTTCAATGACATTACTGCTTCGTCGAACAGTGTTGGCATTGGGGTCAGGGATGACTTGGCCTTCTGTTTGAGATTCTGCAACGACTCTCGGATCTGTCAAATATACAAAATCACATTTAAGAAATGCAAAATTTTAATACGTGTTATACGTAATTACATTTGCATAAATACGTTTATCTCATACAGTAATCTAGTCTTTATTACCTACAGTATCAATATTTTGTTGTTGTTGACATTTTTTATTCCTTTCGAAGGGTTGTACATCAGGATTAGAGGTTACACAGTAGGTTTAGTCAATTGCTATGAAAATACAATGCATGGATGACTTTTCTTGTGGAATAAATACAGCATGCATAGTTGAGACATATACATATACATACACAAATACACAAATACACAAATACATACATACATACATACATACATACATACATACATACATACATACATACATACATACATACACATGGTATGCCTCAAGAAGAGCATGAAAAGTTGTACCGATAGTCAGTTATAACTAAAGCAATTATGATAGTATTGCTATTTGAGGCGTAGCTTGACCTATAGCATTATTGTACAAGGCATGATTATTATTTTAATTTGTGTAGGATTTTCCCCCATTTTCGTTCAAATTGTAATAGACCATTGTTTTTTGTGGCAATGAATTTTTCAATCATAGCTGACTCTTTTAGTATTTTCCTAAAATTATCAAAAATTGGTTTCTCACCCTTAATACTTGATATATATATATATATCTTTTACTGGACATTATAATATGATTAAGTAGAAGTTTATTTTTGTCGAATCCAAAAATAACTGAGTATTTGGTAAGTGAGATCCTAGTATTTATGTCAAGGTTTAAAAAGGTTTCCAGTTTGCTCCAAAAGTGTTTAACATATTCACATTCCCAATATACATGTATAAGGTTTTCGCCGTTTAAGTCACAAAAGGAGCAAATATCATTATCAACTAGTTTCATTTTTAATAATTCCTTTTTGGTGTAAATTATTCTATGGATAAACTTAAACTGAAAGTCAATCAATTTAGTATCTTTAGTTAATTTCCTGAAATTTGAATAAACTTCTTTCCATTGAATATCATCGTCAAAAAGAGATTGCCATTTTCCATTTACTAAGGGTGGTTTTGTTATTGTAATTAGTCTATCATAAAAGTACCTAGATCCTTGAACGGGTATAAATATATCCCTCAATTGTGGACTAAGATTTTAGTCATATATTGGTATTTTGATATAATGATTGACAGTGTCTCTCCATTCTTTTGGTATACTAAGTTTAACCTTATTATAATCTAGTATTGTACCCTGTATATCATAACATACTTTTAATATTTCAAATGGCAGAAATCCATTCTCATTACATAAGTCCTTAATTGTCATTATACCCTTTTTGAACCAATTTTTAATTATGTAGTTTTCATGTTTAAATTGGTGATTTAGCCATAGGGGCTGTGATAGAATGTCAGAAATCTTTCCAGAATTTGTTGTAAATTTTCTGCCGTAATTTCCCCAAACATTTAAAACATCTCTCCAAAAAGGGTTTTTCACACATAAATATTTATCAGCATTGACTCCTAAGTTTATCATATCAGTGAAAGAGAAAACTGAGGGATTATCATATATACTCTTTTTAAAATACTTTCTTAATGTAGATAATTTTAGTGATTCTATAAATATTTTAATGTCCACCATCAGCATAATTTTTTTTCAGATTTTTGCCTTTTAATTTTATCTGGTTTATCATTCCATAAAAAACTAAACAAAATTTTATTTAAGTTTATAACAAAATCTTTTTTTGGGGGGGGGGGGTTGGCAGTGCCATAAAAATATGGACAAGAGTTGAGAGAGCCAATGACTTGATAACAGTAATTTTACCTATAAGAGTCAAGTTTCTTCTTCTCCAGTTTGCCAATAGCCTATTTATTGTTTCAAGTCTTTTTCGGGTATTGATAACCCATAGATCTTGCAAGTGGGGATTGAGAATAATTCCTAACACTTCAAAATTGCCTACATGCCAGTCTAATTTTAAGTCTTCACAACTATTTGTTGAGCTCCCTGCTTTCGACCCGATCCATATGGCTTTTGTTTTATCAATATTTATTTTAAGTCCAGACATTTTGAAGAAACAATCAAGTATATTTATTGCTGCATACAGGCTTTCAGCCTCTCCGTTTAAGAATAATTGTGTGTCGTCTGCGTACTGACCTAATTTGTACTCTTTCTCATTCAATATAATCCCTTTAATATTTTTATTGTCTCTTATCATACAGCCTAAGATTTCTACAGCAAAAAGAAAAAGATATGGTAATATTGGGTCTCCTTGTCTGCAACCTCTTTCATTAATAAAGAAAGAAGACATATGACCGTTTTGTATTACACAGGAGGATGCATTATTAGTTAGTATCGTTAGTTATCGTGAATTAGGTGATCTAAAGTCATTTTCATTCTATTTGCAATACAAGTACTAATTATTTTATAAAGTGCATTCAGCAATGATATTGGACGCCAATTTTTTAGAAATCTTCTGTCTTTGTTTCCCTTGTGTATACACGTAATGACTCCCCTTTTCATTGTATATGTCATTTCCTTATTTTCAAAAGTTTCGTTTATGTATCTAAAAACCCATATTTTTAAGTCTTTCCAAAAAAACTTAAAGAATTCTATTGGAAAGCCATCTACTCCTGGGCTTTTGTTATTTTTCATTTGTTTTACTGCCTTTGATATTTCATCTAAAGTGATTTTTTTCTTCTAAATTAACAGTATCAATATTGATATTCTTATGAGGCCTTGTGCATACCTTAAAGTCATGATTCACTGGTTCATGGTTATGAGGACTTGACTCTTTCATCATTGACTGTAGATACTGTGGAATGACAGTCTTTGTTGGTGCACTTCCAAGAGATCCAGTCATTCCTCTTCCTTTTTCCAACTCGGTAGGTGTAGCCACCAGTACAAAGGTATCTACTGCCGCGTGTAGTTGGAAGAAACGTGTACTGTAACTGCGCGTTTGGCATATCGAGAATGATTACAGACTACCATGTTTCGGAGATTTATAACAGAGTAACTGTTGAGTCAATCAGTTGAGTAAATGGTACTCACTAGATTATCAAAATCAGAGTTCACCAATTCAGTGAACACATTTCAGTTTTCGTGTACATATTTCAGTTTTTGACACTAACCAAGGAGTTAATCCCCTCCTAAAACAACACCACACATCAAAGGCGTACCGGCGGGTCATTCTGCGAATGGAAAAATTCGAGGGGTCGTTGTCCTGCGAATACCCCACAGGGTAATTAGCCTTTGGAATGAAATGTTCATTCAGTCAATGGTTGTCCCAAATCAGTCAAGGCCAGTCCTCACTGATCCCCATTTATCTAATTGGAAATATTAGACTGATCACTCTTCACTGCAGCAATTGAAAAACAGTCTACCTTTTTTGTGTCACGGCAGAGTGGAGATAAACCTACTGTGTGTTGAAGTTACAGGTTTTGAACTGAGGAGGTGACATGATTCAAAACATTCATGAAATGATTTTGAAAATTACATATAATTCTTCTGAATACCCTAACACCACATTATAAACATCTTCAGACTTTCAACAGAAGTCCTCTTCACTGTCAACTATCCATAATCAGTTGTGCCAGTAATAGTATCCTGCCTTCCAAAGCACCCGTGCATGTGCAAGGTGGAAAAACCTCACTTCCTTTGCATGTGTGCTAGTGTCAACACATAAAATTATTAGTCTGAGCACAGTTATTTTTGTCTTTTTGCACTTTAAACATCAACTGTTCCTTACATTACATTATTATACATCTTGTTGTTATTGTATAAGTAAAAAGTAGTAACTCCTTGAAACTGTTGGAAATTACATTTTTCTGGGTAATTTTGGTAGTGAAAGTGTCCGGTGAGACAAGATGGCATTACCTACTCTGACTTGTAAAGTTTGTGGTCACTTCATGATGACTGCTCTGTGGTCTAGTGGTAGAGCATCTGTCAGAGGAAGGTCCGGGGTTCGATCTCCGGCTGCATCATACCAAAAGACGTTAAAAGATGGTACTTGTTGTTACCCTGTCTGGCGCTCGGCATTAAGGGGCTGAAACAAGGACTGGTCGGCTCTGAGTCAGTATACTGTGTCTGAATGGGGTATTCATGTTAAAATGCGGCTTGGTATCTCAGTGAGCAAGCACTATAAATCGGCATCAGTCCGGACTAGTACAAGCAGCCACACACACACGTACATGCATGTCTCTATATAAGTGCATATCGCTATATAAGTGCATATCGCTATATGAGTGCATATCGCTATATAAGTGCAATAATCTTGGATGCAACGTTAAACCCCATTTCACCTCACTACATGATGACTGGTGACCCTCATGTATCCTGTTGGAGTTGCTGTACTATGATTTTTACTGAAGAGGATGTCTTCGGGGTACTGCTCTTTTGAGGAGGGAAGCTGTCAAGAGGACAGTAGCTATCTTGTCTTCGCCTGTGAGTGAGAACTGTACCTGGTCTCCTCACATTCCCAAGGCACCTGCTGAGTCTGATGTTCAATCCCAGACAGTGGCCTCCTCGCAGATACCCATGAGCTTCTTGATGCAACTATTCAACTAGCAGCAAACAAAATATTCAAGCGTTAATTGACACAAGACTGGCTGTGATGAAATGAACTCGGTCAAGTCAGCTCAGTGTCCACCTCTGACACCAGAGGAAGTCTTCCCAGCCAGACATCTGTGTGTATAGGAGAGCAACCACTGGCTAATGACACTATAGAGAGTAGAGGCTTTACTCGCCTGTCTAGAACCAGGGAGTCGGCAGAAGCTATTCTCACCCTGAGGAGAAGATGTGAACCATATTCAACCAGTGCACCATCAAACTTCCTTGGCTGTGTGAACCAGCCAGCCGGGCAGAGTGAGACAAGTATGTCTATCCTCCCTCCATCTCCACCTTCATGGTTAAACAACAAACAAACCATGTAACAGGAAGTGTTGCAGTTAACCTGGCTGTACGGAAAATGTCGGAGAGGAGGTCCTGTGTGGTTAACTTCACATTTGAATCCATCCCTGGTGGATTCTTTGACCCAGCTGCACATGCTCATTTGTTATCATTCAGTATCTACTGAACCACATATCTGGTGCGCATCTGGATGTTGTTGGACTAAGATCTGCTCAGGTTTTACATACTCCAACTGGGACAAGGGTCAGACGACCAGCCTCCTTTACAAGTCTTGGATCTGGATGGGGCGAAAGGTGGCAATATGGCAAAATTGGCAAGGGTGGACTCAAAGCCCCCACTACCAGTGGTGGACTATGAGTGGGGTCACTCCTTCATTGATCTTATTGAAAAACTCTATCATCTCATACCTTGTCTCAGCCATACAAGAGGAAGTAGAATGTTGGAATATCCAGGCGATTGATGCAACAAGCTGTCATGCGATGGACATAGGAGCTTATATAAACTGATTTGTGAGGGGCATACGTCACATTAACCTGCTGTTGGAGGATTCTCCAGCAGGAATTCCAGGGGACACACCTGTATCACTATGTATGGACCAGATTGGATTGATGCACAGGTTTCTTGGCAGAATCATTGAAATGCAAGAGGAGTTACTTGACACCCAGATGTGCTAATCATCTCAGCTCACAAGTACATTCGCGATCAGTTTGGGAATGAACCAGGAAGATGTCACTCACTACACTACGCTCCTACTTTGTTCAATGGGTGAAGAAGAGGCGCGTCAAGATGCAGGTTCCCTCTTTCTGGGATTCTCCCAAGAATGTTTTGTCACAGCTGGCAAGGAATGGCACAAATCAGGCAGGAGTTTATTCAGAAGGGACAAGTCCTCACAGACTCACAACTGCTGGGAGTCAAAATGAAGTTTGCTTTGAAAGGGGGTTGCTTTCGAAGTTCCATCCACAGAAGATGAAGATTGGCAGGAAGACGTTGGACCAAAGCCTATTGACCTTGCCTTGACAAGGATTTAAGAAATAAAGTTTGCTCTGCCCCTATGTATAGTGCAATAAAGTATAGATGTTTTACTTATCCTGCATTACTCCTTAAAGCATTCACTGCTTACCTTACGACAACTAGAGGAACAGCGCTACTGCGAAGGTCCTGGGTGAAGAAATAAAGTTGTTGTTCTGAAGTCCCAATTACTGACCTTCCGTCACTGTCCTGTGACCTTGATGACACCTAAGCTCATCTTCACATCACTGTTTGTCGCAGCACAGCAGGGACGTGTCCCAGTGGAGCTCTCCTTTTGGATTAATTTAGACCTTCAGTTTTCGTCTACAATCCTAAAATTGATCTGCGATGGGTGATGTATTCGTTTCATATTACTTTCACCATGTTGTGTAGTTTTATGTGAATTAATTAGGCGTGAAAAGACTCTTGTCTTTTTTCCCGCCACATATTTGTTCATTTTGAATTGTGTTACAATCGTTTGCCTGCCAAGATAGTCAACTTGTTTACAATTCTCAGCTACGTATGTATAACATATTCTTGTGTTCTTAAATACTACTAGCTTTGGCGTAACAGTGAGTTGCGTATATATAAATTATTGTATACATTTTCAAATCGTTAAAAAAATGTTTGCCGATAGATTAAAAGCAAATCTACGGCTTTCTTCCAGTCCCGCTTCATCAACAATTCTTTATTTGCGTACCTATGTTTGCGCGATTGTACTAATTGTCGTGGAAAAAGTCTTACCAAGATTATCATCCACGTCAGTTGGCTTACACGCATATGTTTCCGCCAAAATCTAAAAGTAAATAGCTTTGGTTTACATTGAGTTGCGTATATAAAAATATTGTATACCCTTGCAACTCGTATTTTTGCCGATAGATTATTGTTCAAATCTACGGCATTCTTCCAGTACCATTTCTTCAACAATGGTTTAATTGCGTAACTTATGTTTGTGTGTTGTAAATATTGTCGTGGAAAAGAAATCGCCCAAAGATCTTTATCCATGTTCCTCGGCATGCACGTAGATGTGCTCGCCAAATTCTAAATGTAATTTTTGTGTAAATCTCTCTCCAACGAGTTTTACAATATAAAAGCAGGTTACTCACAATCATATTTTGCAGTAATCCCATCGTGAGACGAGAGGAATGTCACAATCGCGGTTTAGCGAAGGACATGGTTCGGTCATTACCAACCAGCCATTATTATTGGCAGGTAATATGACGCCCGTAACTGTGACTGCAGAAGTACACCCTCCACCGAAATCAACAATACCGGAGGATTTTGTGAGTATCGTAACTGCTCCAATTCTTCAGCCGCCGGACACTTCCAGATCTGTTAAATCTGTGACGTTGGCGACAGCACCAGCGTCTCAAGTTGCTATAATGGGGGTAGCAAAGACGAAAGCCATGGTCCAGTCAATACCTTTGAGCTTTGTGTCTCAGTTACCTGCGCCGAGCGCAGCACCTGACAACTACCCAAGCCCAAGCCACTCAAGCCCCTCATTATGCAAGGGACGCACCATCAGCTCAGCGCTGTTCCAACATATCCAGCCCAGCCATTATACGCTCATGGCGTCAACAATCACCGATGAGCCTTGTCTCATAGACCTGCGTTGAGCGTTTGCGTACCAATCAAGGGCTTACAGTGTACTCGGGTACGCAACCGGCACATGATCAGCTTAGTGATGTTCCAACATCCTTGGCACAAGTGTAAGCAACTACATCTGCGCCTAACGTATACCAAATACCTAATGTGTTTTCTGGTACAGCATACATCGCTGGGCATCGAGTACGGGAACATCGCCACATGGCTCCTTATCCAGGCGGGTCATCAAAGCCTGCTGATAGGGAAGGCACTATGCACTGGAGCAGATCACCGGCTTAGCACAAGTACCCGATTGGGTAGCAGACCATCTCGTGTCAGTCACGCCCTCCCCTGGTAACGGGGTAAATAAGAGGGACACCACAAGGTCATTGGAGGAAGACTTCTCCAAACTCACATTTGCTACGTCATTTAAGCCACCAACATCGTCAATGTTTGCCGTGGATCAGGATCTATCAGAGGATAACCCTATCTGATTAGATCACTTCCAAACTATGGTGATTTTCCTACAACGTCAGATTGACCACAGGAAAATTCATCTTGAGACCACTCTGACAGAGATTACTGTTACAACCAAACTTTACAGTGTTTCCAACTGAGATTCTGGTTTCAAGGGCAGGCTGCTACTTCAACCTTGGTCATCTACTCCCCTGTTCAATGAACAGATCACAGACACGCACGCCAAGTTCCCAAAACGCTTGGAATGACACTGTGCTCAAGACTCTAGATCACGTCTCTTTTAGTCTATACCAGCGGTCTGGCAAGTCAGGCAATTATAAGCCCAGACATGCGTTTCGCAAGGAAGACCAGTATTTCCTTACTGAGAAAGGGCGTGGCAGAAACAAGTCTCAAGGATGATTACGTACTCATCGTACTATATCATGGTTTCAGTACACAAGTAGAGGTAACCCCACCGTTGACCACAGTTTGATTTGGAATATCCAACATAGACATACTGTTGGTAAGAAGAGCTGTAGAGTTGGTTCACAACCCAGTCTTTACACCGGGGTTTTATCATCACATCTGCCTGCAACCCATGAAGGACCCAGACAAGATGAGAATGATCCACAATCTGTCCGTGTTGGCCTTACCATGGCTTAACACAGCAATTGTTTTATTGGAACAATCACGGAAGGATATTTCTGGAGGTTTGACACAGGTTTTCGTTATTCATTATCTTCTTGTGGCTTTCAAGGATGTCGAAGGCGTGCGAAGTTTGGCCCTCTGGTTGTAACCCAGCAGGTTACCAACCCATGACGCAAATAATGAACTCGCCCTATAGAGAGCCAGTCTACTTCCATGTGCAGTCGCTCAGTCGCCGCCAGTGGAAGAATTTTAGACAATCTTGTTTGTCCACGACGGCTCTATGACGTAGTAAGTAAAGGATTAGCTGAATAGCTATTAATTCTTTATTACTAAGTTTGCATAGGGAATTTCAATGTTTTGATTTTTGGGACAACCCTACCATAATGGCGTTTTTTTCTGAACCTTTCCGCTTCACTGTTTATCGACCAACTGGTTCCATATTGCAGGGTGTGAATTATTGAGGTTTCTGTATTCTGAAGGTTTACCCACCTCCAAACCGTCCCATACATATGCATTAAGGAGTAATGCAGGATAAGTAAATAATTTAGTAAAATCTAAATATTTTTTACATTTGTAGGCCCACCCATCGCAAGACTTGCCTCCCCACTTTGGCTTCAGAAACCTCAAAGTATATTTTTCTAAGAGTGTGGGCGACAGGCAGTGATATGAATATGACCTTAGGTGTCATCAAGGTCACAGGACAGCGACGGAATGTCAGTAATTGAGACTTCAGATCAACAACTTTATTTCTTCACCCAGGACCTTCGCAGTTGCACTGTCCTTCTAGTTGTCGTAAGGTAAGCAATGAATGCTTTAAAGAGTAATGCAGGATAAGTATACAAATGTAAAAAATATTTAGATTTTACTAATTTTGCCCTGAACTGTTGTAGTGAAAGCATGATGCTTGTGTTATGTGAAAAGTTATAATAGTGACAGGGCAAAACAATACACTATACATGTGGGTAGAGCAATCATTATTACTTTTTTAAGATGCAGTATTGAAGACTAACCCTGTATTTTATCGGAGATGGGTTTAAAACATAATCTGTAATAACCAGTGCCATAAATTGAAAGACCTTGAACAGACCTAACTGACTTGCTGTTCCATATTATTGCCCTTTCATTAAGAGACAAATTATGTTTTAAACAGAATGAAACACCATCAAAATGGGTAGTTTATTTTTTAAATAGGTCCTATTTTATTATCTGTTGAGTGTATGACTATCCATGACTTCATGAGCAATCAGTAGGATTGTATGAAGAGCAATCATTTTTACTTTTTACCACATATTTGTTTATATATCGTTGACATTCTTCCGGGGTCTGTTATTTTGAGGGCGATTGGGAATTATGTACACCTATTGCTTGTCAAACAACTATGACATGTTGCCTGGGACCATTAGGCATATGCCCCTTATACTGGGAAATGAAGCTATAACTTTTTTGATTAAAGATCCTATATAGGGGATTTCTAGATGTCAGAACCCACCAATCCATCATATATATTCTGGCTATGATGTTATAGAGGTAGAGTATTCTTAAGAATGATCAAACAATAGTTTTCACTGTTAATAATTCAAAGAAATACCACCAGTATTTAGGTTTAATCCCTCCTACCTCCTTAGTAATATGCGACAAGGATGGTTGATGTGAGGTGCTTCTGATACTATTACTGGCAAAACTGATTTTGGAGAGTTGACAATAAAGGACTTTTATTTTGAAGATTTTTATTGTGTGATGTGACCTAAAATACCTTTTTTGTGTGCAATGACGTAATAGGAGGGGTATTGTTTAAATGATTAACAATGATCACTATTGTTTCATGCTTGAATTTTCCAGTAAAAGCAATTATTATGAAATGAATTTTCCAGTAAAAGCAATTATTATGCAATGAATTTTCCAGTAAAAGCAATTTTTACAAATATATTTATTCAGGGTTATCTCATTGTTATTGTATATCACATAGCAGCATATGGTAAAAAAGCATATCAATCATAAAGGTTTTCCAGTGTTACAGCTATATGAAACATCTGATTTTTATATGCTAGGTGCTGAATATCAACTTCGTTCTGATGATGTCTGGTGGTTGGGGAAAACGTGCGGCCAGTCGTATTGACCGAACACAGTTTGAACAGGACGATCTGCTTAAATCCCTCGGCAACCAGTTCAATGTTGACTTTTCTGGATATGACCAGTGGCAGAGACGATCCAAGGTGGTGCTACCAGTTCAAAGGCCACCAACATCCAAAGGTACAGTTAGTCCTACAAACTAGTTCACTATTTCATGAAGATGAGCACTGGAGGTTTGTATTGATATGTAGCCCAGTGTAAACATGTGTCACTATATAGTGGGTTACATGATTTGACTTCCCGAAATATGTAGTACTAGTAGCTCATAATATCACCTGTGTATCGAATATATCTGCTCTGATTATCTGATTATTATTATTATTATTATTATTATTTTTATTTAAAAAATGTTTTCAATTGAATAGCCATGTCTGACAGAAAATATGACCATGTCTGCTGCTTGACAGCTGAGAATAAGGTGAGTCAGTGCGAAAACAGTTACTGGCCTCATTCAGACATATGTGACCAATGTCTGATCAAACACACAGAAAGCCTTGATTGAGGTTTTTAAGCAGATGCCAGTGCACTTGTGAACGCAATGTAAAAACATTTTTTTCTGAATCCTTCTTTACATATTGCATTCCCTTCTTTTTCCTGCAAAAACATGACTGGAAATGTCATCCCTTGAGAGACTTGTTCCTGAACACAGTTGAAACTGCACGAACCTATTCTGCCCTCACTGAATCATTGCCCAACATTACAAGTCACTCTTATTTACACTGACGAAAGGAGATGTCTGTGAATGTTATCCTTTGTCATTGCTGCAGATATCAAACTGTTGTTTTCCTTTCAGGACAGATTGGCTTGTTTATTCACTTGGGTATTCTTGCATACACATGTTTGTTCCTTTTCACGTGCTCGTGCCATCTAGTACACTGTGAGTTTGTAGTGTTTTGTTTGTCGCCATTTTGGACTTGCTTTGTTCTAAATGCTGTCGGGATTTTGCTTGTGTTTTCCTTTGGCTTAACAGGCATAATTAGTACATCTTAGGAGTTTCATGTAAGTAGTATAGGTAATGATGGTTCTGCCGCAACCCCACTGGAGCCAGATTTATATACCTATACTGCTACTACAGGGGGAATTTTTTATGCCAAAATGATGATGCGATTCAACGATAGTCATGAGTCATATTAAAAGAAACATCAATATTAATTAATAATGAATAAAATTTACTATAGCCCACGAGGATATTGGAAAGGTATAGGAGCAATAAAAAAATTAGCCACCGCGGCTAATGTATCTAAAGATGTGGCCAAGGATTGGTTAAAGAAACAAGCGATGTGGCAAATATATTTACCGGCACCGCGTTATATCCCGAGGAAGAAGTTTGATATTTTTACAACGAATGAAGTTCATCAGGCTGACCTCTTGTTTCTTCCCCACGATAAGGTAAGACGCAAAACATATAAATACGCTTTAACAGTAGTGGATGTGGCTAGTCGATACAAAGAGTCTGAGCCATTAACCTCAAAAGATTCAACAGAAGTAGCTAATGCACTGAGCTGCATATATAAACGCGGACCACTAAAATGGCCTAAGCTATTTCAAGTAGATCCCGGTCGCGAGTTTATGGGATCAATAACTAAACTGTTAACAAAGCACGATGTCGAAATCAGGCATGGTGAAAGAGAGGCCCACCGCAGTCAAGCTATCGTCGAGAGATTTAACCGGACATTAGCAGAATGTTTGTTTGGCTATCAGTATGGGATCGAAATGAAATCGGAACGATTGAGATCAACCGAATGGGTGACACGATTATCAGCTGTTGTATCAGCGCTGAATAATGAAGTAACGAGATTAATAGGGAAGAAACCATCCGATGCTATTAAAATGAAATCCGTGACTTCCGAATCTTCAGCACCGAGGAGAGGCAAAGAACAAAGACTTCCGGATAGAGTATGGGTAAGATATTTATACCAGCCCGGTGACCTCGAAGGAGGCCTACGTCGCGCAACTGATCCGATTTGGTCCCTTAAGACATATAACATTAGTCGATTGGTTATGAAAGAAGGAGAGCCTATTCTTTATTATCTTAAAGATGGACCGGCAGGGCATTAGTACGAGAAGAGTTGTTCATAGTTCCCGACGGTACGGTATTACCGCCCTAAGTAACCATAAGCATAGGTAGTTACACCATCATTATCAATCCATCTCTTTGTATCTAAGGGGGATAATGATGTCTTGTTCATTCTTAATCCATATATCCTATGATTGTAACTTCTTAAAGAGTTCATCTTGTGTTTGAACGTTCTACCGTTGAATAATGCTTCTTTATACTGTTTGTGTTTGATATGCTTTTTTACCACATACTTTTTAACACCCTTGGCTTTTCTTATCTCTCCATTATCGGACTTCTTTACGGAATACATCTTAGGTCTTAATCCGACATACTCAGCTATAGGGGTCCCAGCACATTCATCCTTCATCTTACCTAACACCTTTTTATTTACTACGCTGTGCAGTGGATTATCTTTTGGGTAACCGCTCGTGTCGTACATATCTATTTTTTCTGCCATATCTTTATACACATCCTCGGTTTGTATTTCCATCAACAATAAGTTTCCTGAGTCTTTCTTCCTCATTAGATCTGACTAATTTAACATCAACACGCTTCCTTAGATTCTCCATAGTTTTACCAAATACTGAGTTATTCATAAGCTTATATAGGTTCTTTTCGAAATCGTTGGTAGCTATGTTTCTTAAATCTGTGTTCAACCTTATATAGGGCTCCATCCAAGGACTTTGATAAAACTTTAGAACTCTGTGTATTTTCTTAAGTTTCATACCTAACGATAGATATAACTGGAGATTTCTGTAGTGAACTATATATTTTGTCTTATCCATCAAATTTGGTACGAGTTTTTCTACGTTAGCTAACCTTGTATTACCCATCAAGGAGTGTTGATATTCCGACATCCAATCCTTATTAACCATTATTCTTTCAGGAGCTAGCGGATAACTGTTATGGTCTTTATGTAACGAACTTCGATATTCCAAGTCAACTTCTAGTATGTACCCTTTATTCTCATCATTCGCATCGATATCATCGACCCACTCAAAACCACCCGTGGGTAAAGGTTGACTCATAGCCCATCCGTACAAATTGTTAGCGTCAAGATATAATATGTGCGTGTCGGGTTTACTCGGATCATATCCTTCCACTAATTTATTATTAGCCTTAGAATACCTTTTCGCTACCATCGATATACCCCCTCTTAATACTTTCTCAATAAACAAGTGCATATCGTAATCTGTGAGTAGTTTTAGTTCTACGCCGGTCTTCTTCAACAATGCATTCCACGATAGTCCGGGACTGGAAAAGTACCATGCCGGGTCCAAGCCGTATTGTTTTAAACATGTCTTTCTAAATACCGTATTTTCTTGAGTATAGTGCGCACCCATGTATAATGCGCACCCCCCTCTAGCGGGTTCAATATTTTGGGAAAAAAAGAAATTTGAATATTATGCGCAGAATGTTTTTACACCTTACCCTTTCAGCGAAGTCCGGCAAACGAACGGGTGCTGAGAAACTTCGTCAGTACAAATTCGAAATTTGAGATAAAAAATCACCAGACATGTTTATTTACCGTTTAAATAGTATTTATTGTTCTGCTAGGCATTGTTTATATTTAGGGATTAAGATTACCTTGCGTATTTTCTCGTAAACTAAGCTGGAAACAGCAATCAGCTGTACACACGTTTTCTTGGAATCGACCGGTGATTCGGTCAAGACACACCCAATGATATAACTTTATAAGATTTTTAATGCAAGGATCGGCAACAATTGTATCTGAAACTATTTTATTTATCAGGAATAATATATTCCATTATTTTCTTAATTATATGCAACCTTTACTAAACATATTTAAAATAATAATAACCCTAAGCGAAGCAGCTGATCGCTATTCCCGGGTATTATTTTTTACATGGAACATGTCTGACCAGTCACCGTAAAGGCTCACGCGCACTTGATCACGTGATCGCGAGAATTTCATGTTGACATAGAATCGTCAAACAAAAACAAATATGACTTTTAACGAGTCAAAGTATGTCATTTATGATATATGTATCCATTCTCTGCCAACTAAAGTTTGTTTCAAGGCGTCAATAGCGGTATTCTGTCCGTGGTTGTTGTTAATAACGGTGAGTTGTGCGATCTTCCGATCGCTTCACACACGATTTCGCCGAAATTAATAAAAACAATATTATAAGGAATTTTGAATAAAATCAATGAAATAAGTTACAAACATAAGTCCAGATATACAAAGAACACTTTTTATAGCCAGACAGTGTAATTACATAATTATTTTGCGTACTTCAGTATGGATTTGTTGACATGGTATTCCCGGTGTTTCGTGCTCACGGTAATGTCTTTCCATGGGGGAAAAAACATCCAAACTCATAATTTGTGTATAATGCGCACCCCCTTCTACACAGCTGTGTTTTTTCGAAAAAAAGTGCGCACTATACTCAAGAAAATACAGTATCTCGAATATATCGGCGAGTAACAGTACATCAGTTTTTAAGTACAGATCGTGATAATCGCCTAAATTCTTACAACCTAATTTATCCCACACCGTCAGAGCGTGTTCATAATCGGCATCGGTTATTTTAGTTTCTGTTAAGTTACTATAGAATGATTCAAGGGGTGGTAATTTAGTTTCGTCGAATCTAGACCGATTATCCATATATTTGTAAGGATATACACCTTTTCTCAGCAACAAATGACGTGTTATCTTATCGGTATATTGATTTGTTATCGCAAAGTCATCGGGATTGTTCGCATTAGCTAAATTGTCCAGGGAAGATAACAGAAACTGTATGGAGTCTATGAATCTAAGCCCATTACTTTGTTTTATTCTGGCTTTCCCATCCTTGTCCCTATAATGTATAGTTTTACTCAACGAGAATGATATGTATTTTTCCATATTATTAGGAATGCACGTTAAACCGCCGTCGGTCTTTGAGATAGCTTGCATAATGAGATGTGAATCGTATCCATGAAACACAACGGGGATGGGTATTGTTTGATACTTCATTTTTAGTTTCAAGTTACACTCGTTATGCGCGGCCCCCCGATAATTACCCGTGACTTGGCAATGATCTCTTACGGAATCCCC